TTTTGAACCTCGTTTACATGGCCGAACCTGTTATCTCTGCCCTTCCTGTTCCCCTTATTATAAAGAATTAAATGATACTAATTTTGAGAAAGATAATAATCCTTACAGGTATTTTTAATGATCCAAATAATAAAATGTCCTAATTGTGATACGAGAAGTTGAAGTTCTGATTATTGAACTTGCCCTAATTGTGGTTATAGTGAAAGTAGAGAATGAGTATTGTTGGAGGAGAATAAGGATTATTTAGATGGAGGTAAAACGAGAGGGGATGAACCGTCAATACTTCTGAATACTTGAATGGAGGAACAGAAAGATTTAACGAGAGAAATGGTTAATGAATGTTTACCAAGAAGTAAGTATAGTTGAGAGTTGGATTGTAATAAGGATTTAGGAGTGGGGAAATGAGGAGCAACTATTTATTATGAAAATGACCCCCACGAAGTAAGAAAATTTAAAATAAGACACATGAAAGATTTAATTGAGAAAGGGAAAATGGGAATACATTGGGATTTAAAAGTCTTACCAAACGGCCGACAAATAAAAATCCCCTTATATCCTTATTATTCTCACGAGGATGGTTTTCCTCCTACCAAAATCTATATTTCTAATTGAGTTTTACAAAGAGAGGGAGAATATAGATTTGATGGATGAGGGTATTTTCCGACCATTCCCCATGAGACGGCCCATGCTGACCCAGCAGTAATAAGACATCCCCAATTTAAACCTCTTAGTAGCCAATATAGCCTCGGAACGGGACACGATGACATTCATAATAATAAAAATAGAGAGTTTTATGATAAATTGGTAAGTAAAAAGTATATTGAGAAAATCAAAGGTAGATTTAAGGAGTTAAGAAAAATCCAAGGGAAAGATGAAAATAAATATGATAATTAATGCTCGTGAAAACTTTTGGGAGGACAAGCAGGATTACCACACGGAGGAATGTCATGGATTTTTTGACAATCATCACAAACTACATTACCAATTGTAGGGTTCAGTTTTCTTGGGTGTGCCTCAAATATTTTCTTACAAAAATAGCAGATACATTTTTTTTTCTCTACTTGGGAAAAGCAATTCCGACAATAAGGCAAGAAAGGAGTATGCTGTATAAAATCCAGAAATTCTTTTTTAACTTCTTTTTCACAATTGGCACAAATAACCTTATCCATAATTAATACTATTTTAAAAAATATGAGAACAAGTGAAAAAAAGATTTATAGAATATAGGAAAATAACGGGTGAAAAAGAAAAAGAATATTAAAATATGCTAAAAGATACCAGAACTAGTTCAATTGATTTAGTGGTTAGCAATGATAACTTGCTGCTAAAAATTAATTAATTGTGAAGATATTGAAGAAATTCATTTTGTTAGTTGTATTATTTACAAAGAAATTTCTGGGACCAATCTCTCTTTTCCTGAATATCTAATCATTGATGGTCAGCAAAGGATAACCACTTTTTTTATTTTCTCCTTTGTTATTCTTGAACTTTTAGAGGAAAATAGTTCTAAGAGTGCCTCTCCATGAATAGAAATCATAAAGCAACTTCTTTTTTTTGACAAACAAAAACCTCGTCTCATAGTGAGGGGAGAAAAAGAAAATTCTGTTCAAGCACTTATTAGACACAAAAATCCGGAAAATAGTGAAGAGAGGATTTTCCAGGCTTACCAATACTTTAGGAAAGAAATGAGAGACAAAAAGGTTCAAAAGCATCTAGAAGATTATTTTAGGAATCTTAAGGATAGAGTTAAGTTTGTATCAATAAAATTAGGCGAAAAGGAAGATGCTTTAGAAATTTTCAAATCAATTAATACCTCTGGCGTTGTTTTAGCCCAAACTGACTTAATAAAAGCAGAATTCTTTATCATCTATGAGGATAGAAATTTAGGGACTGACGAACTCGCTGAGGAATGAGAAGATATTAAAAAGAGGGTTGGTGAAGAAAAAGTCAACCACTTTTTTTATACTTTTTTATGCACAAAATTTAAAAAAACAAATGAATATTCTGAAAAAAAACTGCACAATTTCTTCAAGGAAAAACTCTTGAAAGAAAAAGAGCAAAAAGAAAAAATTGAAGGCCTATGAAGTGAAATTGTAGAAAAAAGCATAATTTACGGTCAAATCTTAAATCCTCAACTAGATTATTGGGGCGAGTCATTTTATTCAATTATTTTAGAAATGAAAAATTTGGGTGTAAATCAACTTATTCCCCTAATCATAGTTTTAAAAGCAAAAGGATTGCAAAGTAAGAAAGAATCAAGCATTTTGCAAAAATTGATTATTTATTCTTTTAGAAAAAAGACTAAAGGACAAACATTTCAAAAAAGCGATGTATTGAAATGGACTTGGTGAGTTCAAAATGAAAAAATAGAACAAGTGGAAGATATTCTAAATGACCGGGGGATAGTTGAGGAGATAGAAAAAAGCGATATTTTTTGGGATGAATTGGAAGGAAAATGGTTGGAAGAGAATGAAATTAAATGACTTCTAAAGAAATTTTATTTAACCTGCTCGGCATTAGGAAATTTTCTTTCTCCTTCTCTACAATTAGAGCATATGTTTCCTAAAATTCCTGAAAAGTGATGAACTATCCCAGAATGAAAGAAAATAAAAGAAGATGAAGTGCAAAGAGAGGAAAAACTCTACTCTTTAGGAAATGCCACTCTTTTACTTCCTAAAAAAACATTCATGCCAGCAACAATGTGTGAAAGGAAAAAAGGGAAGAATTTAAGCAAAAAACTTTCTTACAGTTTGAAAAAAATGAACTAAATCTGCTTGAAAAATCAGTTCTGCTTCCAAAAGATATTGATGACAGAAAAAAGTGGTTAATTCAACAATTTAAAAAAACCGGCATGCTTTTTATTGACGAAGAAAAAGAGAAGTCTCAACAGGGATAGATTCCGAACAAAGGATTTACTAACTGGTGCAAGAAAACTACGGAATTAGCCATTCCAAACACGAATTTAAAAAAAAACCATTTACTAATTCTTTTTGGTTGGTTAACTAATTAAACAATCTTGTACCATTAAAACTATTAAGGTTTTTTAAGTAAACCTTTATCTAAAAATGTGATTTTATCCGTCTGGCGAAATAAACAGATAAAAAATATGTAAAAAATATGTTAATGACGACTGAATGAGAAAAAGAAATTAGCCTTTTGATAGAAAGATCTCTTCAAGAAGCCGCCGATTTTTCCGCAATAGAAATAGTAAAAAAAAAATATTTAGACAAGGGCGGCTTAATTTCTCAACTTTTTCAGCAAGTAAGCCAGGAAAAGGATTTGGCCAAAAAAAAAAAATTAGGCAGTTTAATTAATAATTGAAAAAATGAACTGAGGGATAAGGTTGAAAAAGTAGAAGCGAAAATAAAAGAACATGGCTCCCAACAAGTTCCTAAAAAAGAGGAAGTGGATATTTATTTTGAAGGAGAAAAAATTCCTCTGGCTAATCTCCACCCGTTAACGCAAATTACTCAAAAAATTTATGATATTTTCTGACGTTTAGGCTATCAAATTGTCGAAAGTCCGGAAATTGCAACCGAAGAAAATAATTTCACTTTTCTAAATATGCCGTCCGGCCATCCTGCCCGGGCCATGCAGGATACTTTTTATCTTAATCACAATTTGCTTCTGCGAACGCATACCACGACTATTCAAGCTTGAGTAATGAAAAATATACTCAATATTTTGCCTGACAAGGCCAAAAACAGACCTGATATTTTGTTTGATAAGACTAAAAACAAAGAGGTGAAAAAAAATGCTGACACAGAGTTGAAAATCGTCAGTATTGGCAAAGTTTATCGGCGTGACGAGGACGATGCCACTCATACTCACCAGTTTACTCAAATAGATTGCTTTGCTGTCGGCAAAAATTTTTCTTTCTCTCATTTGAAGGGAACTTTAGAATCAGTGGTCCAAAAATTACTGGGTAAAGAACAAACCATTCGTCTGCGTCCCTCTTATTTTCCCTTCACCGAGCCGAGCGTAGAAATAGATGCCCGTTGCTTGTTGTGCCAAGGCAAAGGCTGTGAAATATGTAAAAAAACCGGTTGAGTAGAAATTGCGGGAGCTGGATTAATTCATCCGCAAGTCTTAAAAAATGGCGGCTTTGATTCCCAAAAATTCACCGGATTTGCCTTTGCTTTCGGTTTAGAACGATTATTAATGATAAAATACGGTATCGAGGATATTCGTCATTTTTATCTGAATGACATTCGTTTTTTAAGGCAGTTTAGAGGCATAAATTAAATTTTAGTAGCATCTCCCATACGAGTATTGGTTTTTTCAAAGGCAGCAGAAACCAACAATTTATAGAGATTTTTCCGATTAGTAGCAAAATCAAGGTCAAGGTAAGGGTAGCGGATAATAACAACAAAATTACTATGGAAGTGATTTTTATTTGTTTGACAACTGTCCTGGTTCTTTTTCAAATACGATATTATCATTTCTCGCACTTGCCTTTTATAGCGATTGCGTTCAACCGCCTTT